GGGCGCAGGCGGCGGGGCTGGCCGCGCCTGCTAACGCTGTCATCCTTCCAGGTCCAGCATCGCCCCACCAGCATTGAGTGGGATGGCTGCGATCCCCAGAAGCTCTACACCCTGGTTCTCACAGACCCGGATGCTCCCAGTAGGAAGGACCCAAAGTTCAGGTAACGGGGGTGGGCAAATCCCTGTCTTGCCTGGGGAAAACGGAGCATCCCTCTTGGTCTGAGCGGAGGTTTAGGAGGAGTTCGGGAACCTGCTCTGCCTAAGGTGCAGCAGGGAGGCTGTGGCTTGGGATAGAAACAGTGTCCTTGCATCTCTCCTTGAGACAAGGACAGCACAGGGAGGAGCAGCTGCCTCAGCGTTGTGCAGAGGTCGGTTGTAGCTTGGGGAAGCACATGTGTCTGCTGCTCGCTCTAATGAGCTACGTGTGTGAGTTGGAATTAGGTCTGTCTGTGCTAGCAGTGGAGTCTTAAATCTGGCACCAGGTTACCTCTCCCAAATCAGGCTTGGAAGCATGTGGAGGGGTCAGGGTCTGGGTTTCCTGGAGCTGCAAGGCAGGATGACGGAGCTGGTTTTGATGGGCTCTGCATCGTGAAGGAAGCAGTACCTGCTCTAGGACTGGACTGCATTTGGCAAACCAAGGAATGGCAGCTGTCAGATTGTTACCCTACACTGACAGCCTTATGAAAAAGCAACACCTAGGTAATGCAGGATCTTAGCTGGGGCTGTGATGCAGTCTGATTATTTTTTGCCTTTTCCTTTCAGGGAATGGCACCACTTCCTGGTGACCAACATGAAAGGCAACAACGTGGGGAGTGGGACTGTGCTGTCAGATTATGTTGGCTCGGGACCTCCCAAAGGAACAGGTCGGTACCTGGCTGCAGCTGCGTGCACGTTGAATGCGGTGCACAGGGGAGGGCAGGGAGGGCTGCAGAAAGCTGGCTGCCGGCTTGGAGGGTGCTGTGCGGCTGGCAAAGGGTGTGCTGCGCTGCAGAAACGGCCCACGCAGGATTGCCGGTGACTGGCACTTGTAACGCTGTCTGCTCCCCACAGGGCTGCACCGCTACGTGTGGCTGGGGTACGAGCAGCCGAAGCAGCTGACCTGCAATGAGCCCATCCTCTCTAATCGCTCCGGTGACAAACGAGGGAAGTTCAAGGTGGCTTCTTTCCGGAGCAAGTATGAGCTGGGGGTGCCGGTGGCTGGCACTTGCTACCAGGCGGAGTGGGATGATTATGTGCCGAAGCTCTACGAGCAGCTGGCGGGGAAGTAGGGTGAGGGGACCTGGAGAAGCACTGTGCAGCACCCCCTGCGCCCCCAGAGACCAGGCCGGTCGGAGCACCTCGCTGTAGTTTTGTTTGATTAGTGAGTTGAACCCAGCTGCTCCCAACTGGAACTGTAACCCTGTCACTGTCCCTGGCCTGAACCTGCTTCCCTGTTGGTGTGGTCCAGACCTGTGCTGTGCTTCAGCTGACTCCCGCAGGTACAGGCGAGCGCTAGCTAGATGAGCTTCTGACACAGTGTCCCTGTAAGGGCCACCCCGTCCAGGCCGACCTGCTTTAGGGAAACCAAAGCCTCTGCCAATTAGCGTCACTTCAGGGCGTCTCTGCTGTACTGAAATGGTGTCACGCAGCAGGGGTGCGGGTACAGAACCACTTCTGGGTCGGTGCTGGCTGTGAAGTCTCCCCCTTTCCAGGAGAGGAGATGGCAAGCAAAGGGAAACTCCCCTCTTTTTAATTTTTTTTTTTTTTAAATTTTATTTTTACCCTCAAATATTGGGGCCAGTGCCTCTGCTTCGCTGAAGTGAACCACTACAGTAGTGAGGGGATAGCTGTAGGAGGCAGGGAGCAGGCTGATAGCACAACCTTCTGTTCTCTGCTGCTGCTCGGAGCCGAGAGACCGCTTTCATTTTGTTCAAGTTCTGTTGTGACCTGACGTTAACGTGCTGTTTGCTCACAGTGCAATTAAAAACTTACCACGGTGGATGGTGTGGTTGCCTTCTTGGGGGATGAGGGGAGCGCTTACAGCAGCAGCTTGGCATCACGTTTAGATCTACTCGCCTCGAGGTGGGGCTCGCTGCCCCAGTAAAGCATCCTGGCAAACAGAGCGCTGGTGGGTGGCTTTGGAAATTCGGAGAGGAGGCTGCTTTTTTCCAGGGCATTGCTGAAGCCATTGGTGCTCATGGTCAGCAGGGTAACTTATCCCTGAAAACCTCACGTTCCTCGCAGCTGACGGGGCAGCCTGTGCCCATGGGTCTGCCCCGTGCCCTGGCCAGCTGGGGGGCAGCAGGGCCAGCTGTTAAGGAGCCCTTCCACCCCCTCCGACAGCCTCCCTGTGCAGAGGAGCCAGTCCCTGCCTGTCCCGGGGGCTCTCCCCACACGCGGTGCTCCCTGGAGGCCTCCCTCCCTCCCCACCGCCGCAGGTTTTGGCTCCCCTGAGAAGCACCACCAGCTTTACCATCCTGAAGCTGCTTCCCAGCCAGGCGGCGGGGTCCCGGTTGTTTTCCTGATCCAACAGCTCGCAGCAAGGCCTGGTGGTGTCTCCTAAGCACTTAAAGCAGAAAGTGAATCTGACATCTTTAAAAGGTTAAAAAAAAAAAAAAAAGATTAAGGCAAGTTAATTCTACTTCACTAAAGTAGACGCCTTCCCTGTTTTTTAAACTACTTCCTTTCTCAAAGGTCTGCACCCAAGGGGTCTGAGAAACAGGTACCGAAAACCTCAATGTGCTGCAGCAAGGCCCTGTACAAATTGTGAAGGACGCTGTCAGTGAGAAGGGGGCTCTACCCCAAGATTGTTTTTCAACTCAGCCATTAAAACATTAAACTGTTTAAACATTAAAACAGGATTGATGGTTTTTCAGGAAAACATCCCCAGCCTCTCAAGCCCAAGATCCACAGGACAACACGTGTCGGGTGGGGGGAGACGCTTCCCGCTGCTCAGCAGGGCTGATCCCTCTTGCGCCTTCTCGGGCTGGAAGTGGGACATAAAAAAATAAACCGTGCCCCGTTAGGCTCAAGAGCTCTGCTGCCAAGAAAACCAGGTTTGGAACAAAGCCCCCCCGGCTGCTCCG